TGAAATTTTGTTGAGAATTTTGAATACGAATTTTATAATTATTCTAAAAATGAAGTTGGTGCAAAAAATAAGTGAAATTATTACAGATATGTAATATGAAATTATGGTAAATGCATGTTAAATTTATGGGTGATTATGTTAAGTATAGTGTTATGTCGAGGGAGTACTGGGTTCCTAAGCAGAGGCCTGTAATTACCTCTGTACAGTTGTTCCCTTCACCCTCTTCAAGTAAGATAATGTTCGAGGCTCTCATTTTATGAGTGTGTGTAAAGTTTTTATATTATAATTATATTTTTTTATTATGGAATGTATTAGTGCAGGTCTCAAAGGCTAGTTACCTTATGCAAGGAACGGAGGCCTTTTCAAGCAACTGCCTAGGCACCCTGGGCCACCAGTGCATAGAACACACTGGTTAGCTCAAGAGGACATCCCTATTGATGGATATGTTTGTTTAGTATTGTGAGGTCTTCCAGTTTGGTAAAATAAGGAATTGTAAATGAAAGATGATAACGGTGAAACCATAAACTCTGAAAATATTAATCCTATTATTTATGATGTCAAATTATATTTTATCAGTATGGAAATAAGTATCATAAATATTTACTTTCATTACATTTAATTATAAGTAATGATTATGTAAAAGTTTATTTTGTGATATTCTGTAATAACAAGAACCTTCTCTGAAGAATTATGATTATGTGAACTCTCAAACAAAAAGACTTTTTGACTGAAATGCTGAAAAATTCAATGACTAAAAATAAAAAATTTATTTAAAAAAAAATTTTGATATTTATAAATTATACTTTACAGGACAAAAATTTATGATTTTTTTTTTTTTTTTTTTTTTTTTTTTTTTTTACATTTGCTAGTGCTTTAACTCTTTCTCTTTAAAAAGGCTTCTCTGTCGCTACGCCTTTTTCTTTTTGAAGGGGGGAAATATGTAAGATAAAATTATATGAATCAGAATTATAATATAACTATAAACATTAATTCTTCCTCTCTATTCTAAAATCGTATTAACTTCTCTGCATTAGGTCGTTTCTAGATCACTCTATGGCCCGCGCAACTCTGATGACATGAACAGTCTGAAGAACTGAAACAGTCTTTGTACACCAAAACTTTTCTCTTCGCCGTGCTTCCATCCTTCATAACTATGCACTTCAGCTTTTGCTCTCTACTGTGCTAAGATGTAATTTCGCTGGCTTGCTTTCTATCTCAACATTATCAAAAATGTAAATCTTCTGTGGAAAGGCACGATTAGAGTGCCAAGTGATTGTGGCCACAAATATCAGTTGCAAATAAGAATGGAATTAAAACTGCCTCGACTGCCTAGTTCTTTAGATATTACCAAGTTAGCATTACTAGCATACTACGTAATCAAAATCTTCTTCAATATGGGTCTAATCAAGCATCTACAGTGTTCCGTCTTTTCCTTTGCTTTTATTATGACTTATATATATATATATATATATATTGTTAATAAATTGGTTAATTCAGATGACAAACAACAAAAATCAGCGTTATATTTACAAAATTTCCACAGGACTAGTTTCGATGGTTTTACCAAACCACCATCCTCAGCTGCAAAACCGCAAATTTTTGTTGTTTGTCTTCTGAATTAGTATTTATTCGGCGTGTTATTGTGTCTTAAATTTGTTAAGTTTAAAACTTTTGTCATCTGTCTGCACAGTACATAATCTTAGGGTGCTTCTATTGCGATAATTATTTCTGCTAAATGTTTTCTATAACTTTAAACTTTGCTTTTGCATCACGGTATTCACAATAAATGTTCAAAATTGCGACCACCAGCAGTAATACATGCTTGGTAACGTTGCAGAAGGAATTGACGATCATTTTGAAAAACGACAGGCATTTTGCACACGCTTGCAATCGCAATGGATAGTCGTGCAACGAGGTCCTCCAGTGAGTCAACGGGAGTCTCGTAAATGATGCTCTTCAGATGGCCCCATAAAAAAATCCTAGCTGGATAAATCTGGCGAACGGGGTGGCCATCGAATGGGTCCCCCACACCCAATCCATCTGCCCGGAAATGTCCCATCCAAGTAATTGCAGATCTGCACGTGGTTATGGGCTGGTACACCATCATGCTGGAACCACATTCGATCACGAACGACAGCCAGAACATCCTGCAGCAAATCCGGTAGCACCTCTTGCAGAAAAATATGATAAAATAAGCCATTTGTACGTGCGGGCCTATGAGGTAGTCGTTAACAATACTCGCACACACATTCAAGGAGATGAGGGTTTGGAATGCATGTGGACGTGTGCCGTATGGATTATGAGTTGCTCACACGTGCATGTTGGGGCTATTGAAGATGCCGTCCTGTGAGAATGTTGCCTCGTCCGTGAATAGCACATCCGATGGGAAATGCGCCTGCGCTGCACACTGTTGCAAGAACCAATGACAGAAATGAACTCGAAGAGAGCAATCTGTCTCTTGCAAAGCTTGGACTCTCTGCAAATGGTATGGGTGCAAACCATTTTCATGTAATACTCTCCAAATGGTGGAATGACTCAGCTGCAGACAATGTGCAATAGCTCTTGTATTTGTCTGAGGTGATTCATACACAATGTTCAAGATGGATTCTTCAATGTGAGGTTGTCGTGCACTTCTTTTTCCACTCCTAGTGTCAGAGGTGGCTTCAAATGACCCGTTTTCACACGGAGACTGATGCAACCTCTCGAACAATGTGTGCTTCGGCATATGCCTGTTCGGAAACCGTTCCTGGTACAACTGTAGCGCTGCTCTGCCGTTCCCATTAGTAGCAGCATACATGAAATGCATGTCAGCTTTTCCCCTGTGCGTAAACTCACCCATCACGCTTGACATCAGAGTTGCGAATGATCCTCTGATGCATCGGATTGTGGTTTGTCCGGCTCCCTACCATCCTCTACCACTGCATTGCCAGCCAATCACAGCTGTAGTTTCTGTTACTGTTCCCTTTTTTGAACATTTATTGTGAATACTGTATTGCTGCAAAGAAGCACTTTGCGCTTATTTTGTACATAAACACATTTTCTTCTGGTGTCATTTTTTTGCCCCCCGTTCCTGTCTTAACCCGTCACTTTAGACCCTACATTCCTATACAAAAAATGCATGTTTTAGTATGCTCCACCACTCCTCCAAGTTTGTCCCATGATCTATGAAACACCCTGTATACTTTATAGAAACAAGGAAGGGTTTTTCAAAATACTGAAAAGAAAATTATTTGAAATGAAAATGTGACTGAGATCATATCTGTTTAAAAGATTTTACATAAAAATGTATTTTTCGTTTTTCTCAGAAACAAATTCATTAATTGCAGAATCATTTCTTGAAGTTATTAAGAACACTAATAAATACAATAAAAAAAGTCTGGGAAACACTGAAAATTGTAGAAGAAAAACATTTTAGTTGTTAAATTTTTCTTCAAAAATTTAAATAAAAAAAAAATACTAGCAAAATACTTTTTTTCAGCTTAAAATCATTTTGTTTTACAAAACCATTTAATAATATTCATAAAAAGTAGATGAAAAATTCTTAAATAAACAAAAAATCATTCAAAAGGTACAGAATCCCTTGTCGCATTGAAGACAATATGCACCTGTCTTTTAGTTTTAATTTGAATGATAGTTCTTTAACACCCAGCATCAGATAACCTTGTCTGTATTTGTTTATAAATTTCCGTATCTTCTACAGTTGAATCTAATTTTTTTTGGGGGGGATGATGTTATCACATCCCTAGACATCTATCAGCGCAATTGTTTCGCTGACAGTCCAGCCAGCAGTAACTAAAATTGAGTGAAACGCGCAATCACGCAATATAGTATGGGAAATCTCCACATTTGCCCTTCTACCAAGAGGTAGGAGCATTATAGCAAATTCTACCTCCCATTCGGAGAAGCAGTTAATGCTTGTTCACCACGTGAATGCAACACGTTCGAAGAACCCATTTCTGCCGATCGAATCTGCTCTTGCGAATGGGGCTTAAGTGATGCATAAAAACTGAGAAGGTTTGTAGTAAAATTAATTTTCAGGGAGCCACTTTCATCCTTACTGAAATGCAATCGGATGAAGGGTTATCCAGGAATGCATCATATTTTTTCAGTAAAATTATATGCATAAATATTGACAGATTTTTAATTTTCTTTTTATGGAAAGTGGAATAACTTCAGATGAAATTCTCAGAAAATATGCACAAAATTGTTGATCTATTTTCAGCATGTATTAATTCTAACCACAAAGAATGCAATACCCATCCAAACGTTATGTGTTACAATTATTCCTACAATTTTTTAAAAGATCATTTTTGAATATCTTGCATTAATGTGCTTATGTATATATACTCCGAGACAAACAGAACATAAATGATGCAACATTTAATTACTTGTTTTAATTCAGCTTACCCAGATAGCATTTCTGGTGATGAAAACTAAAATGTTTGTGAAAATTTGTTAAATACTGAAAACAATATACACATTTAAAATAAAGTACATATAGGCTCTGTCTAATTAAACAAGGAACAGAAAATACCAAAAAATAAGAAAAGTTATGTGGTATTGTACGTCAGAATTTTACTTTCTTAATGCATACTAATGTAAACAACCTTGCTGCAGATACACCTTCAGGTGTTTAGCATTTTCCTAGTTCCTTTGCATTACTTTTTACAGCTAAGTATACTGAGTAAAAGTTTTCAACTTTTAACAATAAATTAAAGAAGTTTTATGCTGCAATTAAAAAAAAAAAAAAAAAAAGGATCTTAACTGCAAGCTACTAGCAAACCAGTAACCACCACCTAAGTGTAAAATTTTTAAAATGCTTATTGGTGCATTTTTGCTTTAATAAGTAATTTTAAATAGTTTTGGTTGTATAATAAAGCTAAAAACAATTTAATAAATGATATTAGATGAAAACATTGATAAATAGCTTTCTAAGATGGTCAACAAATAAAAACTCTCTTACACTGTGAAATTACTTCTTCAAAAACTGCAAATTTTACCTGTAGAAGTATCTTTAGACTGAATGTGATCACTTTGCAAGGAAAAATTTAGTGGACTTTTAACATCATCATCATTATCTAGCTCAAGCAAAGGGAAGTCATTATCTTTATCTTTTTCACTCAGTAACTTTTTCTTTGCAGCTTTTCTTTTGCATGACATACTTTTTGATGGGCTACTAGATATTCTTTCCTTATCAGAATTACTGTTATATTGAAGATCTCTGCCTGTCTCACTTTCTTCATCTTGATACTCTGCTTCAAAGAATAATAATCTGAAAAATTAAATAACTTTTGCTTTAAATCAGCAAACATGCACTCAAAACACAAATTTGCATTTTAGTAACATTAGGGAAATACCAAGTATATGCAATCCTAAATGCAAAATAATCCTTTTTTTTAATATTTTCTCTGCAGAATTTATAGCACCTGTATTAGGTATGTATTTTTCTACAATATACTTCAGCTATCATGATGCAATTTCAAATCAGTTGCCACCATGCCCTTTCAGGCATGCTACCTTTTAACGTTGGAATTTTGACAAGAAGAAAAGCTTGGCATTCTAAACAGGCCTAGAGGAGTACACAGGTAAATTTTGTGAAGACAGCATTTATCGTTTTAATTCTGTGGGTGTGCACGATGATGTATTTAATTATGGCAAAGCATACTAGGGCTATCTGCCTAAGGGGAGGGATGCCTTCGTGGAGGACTTAAGGGAAACTGGCTCGTATACACGTTACACATGGGGAAAACCACGAAAACACCCATGCAGCCAGCCCGTTCGTGGGATTCGAACCTCGGACCGAACTACCAGTGTTCAGTCACTTTACCGCTCGGCCGCTAGGTGTGCACGAAGCAGGCATGCTGAATGAATAGAGCTCCGAAAAGAGTGCTGAAAGGAGCATTGCTGGGGAGCATGTAAAAGAGCAAGAGATCTTGCCTACGATTAAAAAAATACTAGATTCTGAATACCATAGCAGATTTAGTATTATCCAGGATGTGCCACCAGCAGACCTGCTACTCTACACTCCCCTAAAAAAGCTCTTTTTGGTTATATGATGATTATATGCATATGAATGGAAAAAAAGTAACTTGGATATATGCTATTTACATTTCATATTTACACTTTCATATATTTTTTTCATGGTGGTACTTTTCGAAGAAAGTGGCACCACCTTTGAAAAATCACAACCTAATATTGCATGTTTTGCACATGTACTGGGATCTGTATCAGATTCACTATTTGAAAGCAATTCGTGTAACACTTTCAGTGCTTTAGAAATGGTCAGCCCTCTCTGATCCATTTGGAAAATAATTAAAAATCCGAGAAAAAATAGACTAATATTATATCTACAATTTGTCTACAACTTAAAACTGTTAAACAGTATATCAATTGTTTACAATATATCTACAATTTAAAACTATTAAACGTAGCACTAACAAAACTTCTTTGAATGAAAGCGAAAAAAGAACTGCTCTAGTGAAAAACCAAACAGCTAACTCATAAAATTACCAGACCTTCAGAAAATCACCCCCAACAATTTCTTAGTTGACAACCAAACATCCCCCCCCCAAAAAAAAGAAGACAGAGAAAAACAAGAAATGAAACACACATGTGGACCCACCTTTTTATTATGAATGAGCTGCAGAGAAACAGAGATACAGTCTCTCAGTGAGCCCACTCTGGGCACACCTGATGTTTGCCATTCGATTTTAGGAAAGATTTCAAGGTAAAAATTTTAAACTAATATAGAATAAGGAGATTAGCATACAGTCAAGAAAATAACATAGAAATTTCTTTTCAAACAATTCCTTTTATATCTTTTAAAAAAAAATGCAAGATTTCTTTGAAAAATAAGGGTCTTTAAAAACTAAACATAGCTAAAATATATGGACTGGTTTGTGTTGAGCTGTCATCTACTATAAAAAAGGTTCAGAGTAACCTATAAATCCTTTTTCACTCAATTTTTCTGTGCGTACAGAAGGAAACTTTTAGGTGTCGCAAAGGGTTACGAGAAGCTTCAAAGCAATTGTTCCTATAGATATTCTACAGCAAAATACTGTATTCTTGCAGAAATTTTACTGCATTTTCCCTCACTGTGGGCTTCCCACAAGTCATATTTTAAAACTGACTTCAATCTAAAGATCTGATTTCTCTACACCAGGCATCAGTACCTTTCTTTGGCTGCATGTCAAAATCAGGCAAAATATGTGTATTAAGACGACGTTTCAGATCAGTGGTGTTTTCATTTTAGAACACTTTTTCTTGGCGAATAATAAGATTAATTTTATTGAGAACCTAATTACCATAGGCTCTGAACCTTAAAGATTAAAATTATAATTATTATAAAAACAAACATAGCTGAATGAACTTTATTATTTTTTTCTGAATTTCCAGATGCTGAACTTGTGACAATAATTTAGTAAAGTCTGACTTATAATTAGTCTTTTTATAATAATTTAATTGACTTAATTTACAAGCATCTTAATTTAAGATAGTTCAGCTGCTCCTCTCCTTACCTTAAATAAATTGCACCTGTGAAAATACTTACTTGCATTTACTGCATTTACAACCAAATGCAGACAAAATGGCAAAGCTCCCCACTTTTTTTTCTAATTAAGGGTTATGGACAGACATTGCCAAAATTATCGATTCTTCCTTGAAATTATGTTGACTTTTTTTTTTTTTTTAGTTTTAAAAAACAAAAATGCATGTTCATTACTGCCACTTTATAATCAAACAAAAATAATATTGTTAATATTTATTTTTGGTTAATTTTTTAATGTATTCATCAAGTGCTCATTTTGTGTTCATGTTTTATAATTTGTTTTTATATATTATACTTTATTTCTGGAACACAAGTGGGTTACTTGAAATTATGAAATGGTCACTTGATGACCTGCTGGTCATAGGTTGCCAAGACATGCTCCACACAGTTAGAATTTGGAATTCAATTTTAAAAAATGCAGAAATGGAGATAGTACTGACTGAAACTTAAGAATTGTTATGTGCAAGGTTGCCACAGTTTGGTGTGTTCTGAGAATTTGTTAAAATTCTAATAAGGCAGCTGAGCTGATACTTCTGCATCAGAGCATATACAAGAGAAAGCTTACATAATGTGGAAATATGAAATTTGAGAATTTATGGGTATAAACTGGTCTGAAGATAACGATGAATTAATAAACAATAAAAAATAAAAATGTGCATTAACACTAATTTCTTATACCAATTTTTCAGTTTATCTTTTCATCTTAATTTATTTGGCACATACAGTATTACCCTATTGACTGTGAAAGCTGGTGTCGATCATTTTAAAGTTGTATCAATCGTTCCTGAGGAATTCTGAAGGAACTAACATCTGTTTGCTTAATAAACAATCGGTATTTACTGACTTGGTTTTTTTTTTTTTTTTCACTTCAAGAAAAGATTTTTGTTAATTTCTATTATTTTGTTAGACCTTCTTATTTCATCAGAATTTCCATTTAGAATATTACAAGTACAAATTTACTGCAGGTAATTGTTCCAATCTATTATTTTTGCTCTCCATATCCAGCTGTTCGTTTCACTTTTCAACAGATGTTAGTTCTTTCAACCAGCTGCAAATGAAACAGACTGCAGTCACAAATGTGACTCTATAGCCTTCAAATTGCATGAATTGAATGGATATTCTCAATGCAATTTTTCTTGTAGCACTGCCTTTGTTTACCCATTTTCCAATATAGTACTAGATTGTGTCCATTACTACAAACTTTATTTGATGCTACAATCCCATAACTTTGAAAATAATAAACTGCTTGCTTTCTGTACAAAGTAGGTCCAAATTTAAAATTTTTTTTTTTTTTTTTTTTTTTCAAAATGGGAAAAAAGTATCAACAGTTAATTTATATCCTTGCTCACAAAAATAAAAGATAATTTATAGAGATTCAACTAGGATTATATCAAATGATAAAGTGGATATTACAAGTGTGTTTTTACATCATGCTTCTGCATAACTAGTACTTGCTTGATAACAGTTTCATGATCAATGGGATACACAGGTACCACTTATTTTATCTTACAAGCCATTTTTATCAATAAGATGAAATAATTAAAATCACAAGCATGCATATTAACCGTTTAACTGCTATGCAGTGCAAAAGCGCTGCTTTCATTTGTCTCGAAAACCGTGATGCAGCGCTTATGCTTTCAGTGTGTCTTTGTTGCTCCATGGGTGTGAACGTACGTAGTCTGACCTCAGGCGTACTTTGTAACACGAGTGCATTCTAAAATAACTAAATGCGTCGCAGTTTTCGAGACAAATGAATGTAGCAGTCAAACGGTTAAGAAGTGCTGTTCCATAACTAAACAAACTATAGTTACTGAAAGCTAGAAATGATTGATAAATAGTAAAAACAAACTTTTCATTCGAATGTAATTATACATGTCTGAAATGAAGGCAGCGAAGGATCAATTAAACAGATTTAAATCATTTTGAATATTCATTCCAGCATTTTACTGAATACAATTACTCAATATGTTTAAAACATTTACAAGAATAGCTAATAAAATAAAATTACTTGACTTATACCAGATGAAAATACAGTAACCTTACTTAAGATCATTAACCCATGAAGAATTACTTAACTTCCATCAAACATTTCATAAAAAGTACACACTTTTTTAGCTGAAGAAACTAAATTGTTCTTGACTAACTTTGTAACTACTTTTAATATTAGGATGAGAAAAACCATTACAGAAATATATTAAAATTAATAAAAATACTAACATTAAGAGATTTCATACATAAATTAATTTCCATATGCAGATTACTGCAAAAGTATGCGGACTCCTAATACTTTTTATTTATTTAAAAATATTTACAAATAATGTAGTATAAACTATTAGCAAAGGAAATTTCATGCCATACATGTCCAGGTAATAATAACGCTCCCATAACACTGTTATCAATTTTTTTACCACTATACTAAAACAATCAATTCAAAATAAAAGGTGGACACACTGTTGTCATAATTAGTATCTGAAATACTTAGATGTCATTTGATTTTCATAATACACAAAAAGAATGCATGGCAAACTCCTTTTTATAAAACTCAAGATTCTACATAAAATCTGAAAATTTTATTCAAATAAGTTACACATAAGCTAATGTTTCACCTAGTTTACCTAATAAGATGCATCATTTTCTGGCCATCATGCAGAGGATATTTCAAAGATTCTATGACTAAATACACTGGTCATCAAAATTACAGGATGATGAGAAATAATACACTCACT